TTTCCCACTAAAAAATATGCTTAAAAATAGAATATATAACACGATTAACAATAAATCGTATTTAGATAGTTTATATTAAGAAAGAATATATATATATATATATATATATATATATATATATGAAAAATTTCTCAGTTAACCTGTAGAAAAAGACAATATTTATAAATGTAAAAGACAATAGGAAAACTGTAATAGTTGCCAACGCATTTTGTCTGATGTGGAGTTTCTCAAGGCAAAATGAAATGAATTTATTAAACTAAGTAACTAATAATAACAAAACAAAATGTCCTTAGCAACTGGAAGAATTTAGAGAATGTTATTTTCATACTGTTAACTGAAATTATGTCAATTACTGTCACGTGTGGAGATATTGTTTTTATTGCTATATTGACAGATTCAACCATTTTCTTTTGATTTCGTGATACTGTTCTGTACGTTTGTTTGGGAGAGAAGGTGAAATAGGGAAAAAGCCTGGGCGTAGATTAATATTTGGGTAATATTCAATGGTGGCACTCTCAAAGATTTTCCTTCTGAGTGAGTTATTTTCTTTTTTTATGAGTGTAGCATTTTTAAAATCAAAATTGTGGTTAATTTATTTCTATGTGTGACTAGTGCATTAGCTAAGTTGTTTTTCTAAAACCATAATGGAAATGGACATACTCAGATCCTCAAACCACAATAATATTTCTGAAGCAGGCATTTATAAAATAAATTGTCAAAACTGTTCCTCCTAATATATTGGAGAAACAAGTAGAAATTAAAAAAATGCATTTATGAGCACAAAAGAGACCTCACGAAAAAACAACTTAACTATCAATTAATATAAAATGAATGAGAGTAAAACAAAATGTAAAGTTGGTAAATATAGGTTCAGGTAATTGAAATCAGAAAGGAAAAATAAGACAATCTTCAGGTCAATTGTACAAAATCAAGAAAAAGAAATACTTTTACAGAAAATCCCATTAACTGTGGAAAAAGTTGAAAGAAATAATAATAAACAATGCTTATAAAACTTCAAATAAATATAATAATCTATATATATAATGAAATAATAATTGCAAATTATATTAAATTATTATATTACTTTAAGCATTTTTCATTTAAACTTAAAATCAATCATTTTTTGTTGAGCTTCGAACAAATGTGTCACATTTCTTTGTGTTCTGAATGCCAATCAACAGTATGCTACAAACATACACAAAACTTACCTCTAACTGCTCAACAAAATTTGAATGCCCACTAAATGGTAACTACCTATAAGTAAATATCATGGACTAAACTACTGTAAGATTTAAAGAAAGCACAGAAAAACATATATATTTAATTAACAGAATGTTTAGCATAACAGAAGCTACTCACAAAACATTTTTTTAACATAAAAAATAGTAGAATGTAGAAATGGCAGAACACTCTCAAAACAACTGGCACCTCAAAAACACAAAAAATGCATGCAAAATAACATGGAAAATAAAAACAGCATAAATTTAGAATAATACATCAAAACATTTAACCTTTGCCTTTAGGAGGAAATAGCAATAACTATATTTTCAGAACAAAATAAAATTCTAAAGATCAGAGCTCATTTGCAAATGTAGATATGAAAACAAATTATATCTACACTACCTACAACCAAAACTTGAAAGAAGCTGAAAGAATAATCAATGACATAATTAACTTTTCTAAATACCAAACTTTAGAATCAAGGAAAGTAAAAGCAACTAAAAAAATAATATATAATAAATTAAAATATAAATAAGTAAATAAAAAAAAAAATCATACTCAGACAATAAATAATCTAAAGCACAAGTCCTAAACAATAAAAAAACAAATTTAAAAACTATTTTCTCTTTTCCTTAACTTCCCATTGGGTTGGTTGTATTTGTTTAGCAGCATATTTGTGTTAATTAATGCTGAAATCTAAATGTTTATATTCAATTTTATTTTATTTTTTGGAGATAATAATGGTCTTAGTGATAATTACTAATTAAGCCATAGTTAGTGGGAGAAGACGTTGATTCATACATTTTTCCAAGGGTATTTATCTATAAATGAATATAATGAACCCAACTGGAATTGGAACTCGGCTCTCCAACCAAATAACAATTCTGAGACATTATCTATTAAAGCATCTGCAAATCCAAGCTTGCAGCACTTATTAAGCATTTCCATTGGGGGGGTGTATATATATATATATATAAGTAGATCAGTCGATTCTGCTACCTCGATTTCAACCTTTTTTTTTTTTTTTGGTAAAAATTTAAAAGCTCTACATGTTAAATTTTTATTTTTAGTGTATTAAGCACTTTTTAATACTACTGTTTCCTGGTCTGATACAACTCTGACCATTAACCTTTTCAGTATTATATATGTGTGTGTGTGTATATGTGTGCACCAACCTTGTCCTACTCCAAAGCAATTGCGTGGTGAGAAACAAAAACCACCAGTCTACAAATTTCCAGAGAGACCATTGAAAGTAGAAGACAAACCCCTGAACTATGTTAAGTCTTTCACCTATCTTGGTAGCAAAGTCAATTACAGTGGAACTTTAGATGATGAAATCATGCATCAGATTTCTAAGGCTACCAGTGCTTTCGGCAAACTTTGCCATCGCTTGTGGAATGAGTGGGCTATTCGAATGGATATGAAAATTCGGGTTTACAGAGCTGTTGTACTTGCCATCCTTTTGTATGGCTCAGAGTCGCGGACTCCATACAGGTACCATATATGCCAGCTAGATGTTTTCCATAAAAGCTGTCTGCGTGCAATCTGTGAAGTTAAGCTTCAAGATAGGACATCTAATGTAGACCTGTTTAACAGGTGTAATATTGGAGGAATCGAGACTTTTATCATATAGTCTCAGTTACAGTGGACTGGTCATGTCTTGAGAATGTCTGATGACAGGATACCCAAGATCTTAATGTACAGCCAGTTAGATCAGGGCTACAGGAATGTAGAACACCCATGGCTAAGATACAAAGACAAACTGAAAAGCAACTTGTCAGCTGTCACTATACCACATAACACCCTTGAGCGCTTAGCCTTGGAGTGGGTAGAATGGAGATCAACATGTTTTAGTGGATTCAGCAATTTTCAATCTGCTTGTCTGAATCATCTTCATGAAGCGAGAGCGCAATCTAAAAGGTCAGCCAATCTAACAGTGATCTCATCTCACAATCCTCACTCTTGCTCCATATGTGGCCTCCTTTGTAAATCACTAGCAGGTCTTAAGTGCCACTTAAGATTATCACACAAAATTTCATAACTGAATCAATAAGCTGTCAGATCCTCATATGTCGAAACCGACTGGAGAGTCCATTATATATATATATATATATATATATATATATATATATACACACACACACACACTATATCTCTGATATTGAGCATTTTATCCCATAAATATAGTACACCTAACTGGTGTGTATATTATGTGTTTACAAGCTATTCCAATTATATAACACCTTGAGTTAGAAGAGGGAGTTTAAATGCCCATCAAACAGTGAACCACCAGCAATACATTTTTCTATAAAAATATACCAACAATACCTATTTATAGTACAATGATTAGCAATACATTTTATCTGTAATTAAACGCCTACAACTGCATTCAAAATATTTATATAAATATTAAATATATATATACACACCCACAAGTAATTAATATATATATATATATATATATATATATATATATATATATATAATATGAGTTTGTGACCCTGGTTTTCATGCTTTTGCAATCATCAAACAAACTGGTTTATTTTTTAAAATTGGATCTATTTATGCTTGTTTGACTATGTTTGGTGGCTGGAGGGGGAATCTGCTTCTGTGTTTGTTTGAGTTGGCACTATCATACGCATAGGTATATACATACAGGTGTACAAATTTTAGTTCACACCAACACATCCATATAAACAAATCAAGGCTAGATGTAGATACATATTTGTGCGTTCAGACATACATGCATATGCACATACTGTGTATGTATGTATTCCTGAATGCATGGATATATATCTGTGCCTAACCTTGAATTGCTTATATGGATGTGTTGGTGTGAACTAAAATGCATACACCTGTATACTTTTGTCTTATGGCCAAATGGCATTAATCTATATAAGAAATGCAAATGTCAGTGTGTCACACCTTTTCAGTTTTACTCCTAGAGGCTGTAGCCCAACATTTTGGATCCAGGTTAACTCCATGAGCAAATCAAAAACATTTTGGGCTGGATCCAGATACTCAATCCTGAAATTTGGGATTCTCAAGTTTGCATCACTTTGATTGTTTTCGGCGAATTTTTTTTTTTAAACATGATTTTTTGCAACAAACTTTGTATGATAACAATTTTTATAACTTGGGAATAAATTTGAGAAAAATCAAAATTAATTGCAAAATCCAGTGAAAGTCACTCGTGAAATAAAAATAATTGTTTGCATGGAAAGTAAAGATCTGCATACATTAAATTGTTTTTAAATTAAGTGTTGGCAGAAGAATTATTGTTGAACTTTTAAAACGCAAGCTTAAATATTAATGCAGTACTTAAATGCAGCGATCAATTTTGAGTTCTTCTGTATTTTATTGTTGTCTGTTGCATCTACTCTTCCGTACCTATTGTAACAAAGGCTTAATCAAGAGCCCTCTGCAGGAGCTAGCTTAAATGTTGCTTGATAGGTCAGCTTTTATTTTCGCATATTATAAATTATTATTCTGTCTCTTTTGAAATTTCTTTTATCAGTCTAGTATACAGACCTATTTTAAATTTACTATATTTATGTGATAAGAGAGTTCAATATTAGTGATAGTTTTTTTTTTTTTAGGACTCAATACTTCATGTTGACTGTTGGTTTTCACCTTAAGCAGTCTTCAAATCATATCTGTAGAGTTATATATATATATAAAATGAAAGCCTGTTATAATAATCATTTAGATTTGTCTTTCTCTCTAAAATGAAACCTGTAGTAATCTCCTGCCCACCCACTGCTCTTTCTCCCCTCTAGTGGTTTTCCTTGTACCCCTCCTGTGACAAGCATACTCTCCTCCTCTTTCTGCCCCTTACAAGTCTGACTCATTCTAATGGCCCAGGTTCGTTTGTCTGTGTGGGGAGGTAGCAGAAAAAGAAGAGAAAGAACACAGTGACTCATTCGTTCATAATCAGTTTTTCATTTTGCAGTTAAACAAAATCTTGACAACCTATAGAAATTCATAGGAAAAAAAAAAGGTGTGGAATAATTCTCCCTCCCCCCCCCAAATATCTTGTGTGTTTAATGCATTGATGTACATATAAATGGACACTTTGTTGTTGTGCAATGATTACCAAGCTTGTCTTATAATTAATATCAAATGTTAGTTTAGTGACTTTGACCCTCACTGAGTGCCTGACTATTGTGGCCTTGTGTATCGATTAAGTTTAATCAACAAATAATGTGACTATGACCAACAAGGAGAGTTTTTTTTATACTTTTTTTGGCTTCATTTTTCTTGTTTTTTTATATACTTAGAAAGCTCTTAGACTTATTCAGTCCCACTTTAAGAGAAAAATGATCGTATGGTTTCATGCCTGAATGCAATCTTCAGGCCATGAGGATTGCGTTCGAACACGAAACAAACTGTCACTACTCTGTGTTCACCTCATTGTTGATTTATATATAAAAATTCAGATATAACTGAAAAATATATCTGTGAAATGACAGTGTCAATAAATGAAAGCTTATCTTAGCTTATTTTTTAGCAAATGATTGTTCAGTGTTTTTATATATATATATATATATATTCATATATATATATATATATATATATATATATGTTTTTAAATGTTTAGTTGAATAATATCAATAAATTCTGTCCATTTAATTTTTTAATTTTTTAACTTTTTCAAATTTCTGAATTATTTGTTTTATATAAGCGGTAAATTTACTGAAGTTTGTTTATTTTTATTTTATAAATTTACAGAGTACATAAAACAACTACCGTATTTGACGGAATATAAGGTGGAATTTTTTTTTTTTATTAAAAATATCTTTTAAAATTCCTTTGCATCTTATATGCCATATGTAGGTTTACTAATTTTATTAATTACTAATTTTTTTCTTGATTTGCCCTGTTGAAATTGGGGTGTGTCCTATACATCATCAAATATGGTAATTTGGAAATTTATAAAAGTTAATAAAAAAAAATTGGTAAAACAGAACTTGGGGATATTATTCAACCAAACATGTTTGTAAAAATTCTTGCTGCCGAAATACACTTAATTTTAATACACACACACACACGTACGTATGTACGTATGTGTGTGTGTTAACATTAGTCTAAACTAATGTTTATGGAGCAACACTGAAGAACATATTCACTATCCTAGATTTCTGAAACTTGTCCATTAACAACTATACCTCTTACTTCCACAGAAATATGTATATATCTACAAGCTGCATTTTAATGTTTTGGGTCTTAGGTGTTTCTCTTTATTTACAAGATATATATACACATACCATATTATATATTGACCCAACGTTTCACTTTTGCTACACAAAAGCTATTTGTATTTTACAAGCTGTTACCGAAAGCTTGTTGAGAGAGGGGTATGACCCCCCTCCCATTATCACATGTTAAATCAAGGGTGCCCATTGTACAATGATGTGCTTCATGTTGGATGTTTCCTTTCTCCTATATATATATATATATATATATATATATATATATATATATATAAAATGAAAGATTGAGTCTGGTTAGTCTGGGCGTTTACATGTTTACGAGTTTCCTGTATATCAAATTACATACTTTGAAAATTTTATTTCCACCCCCCCTCTCTCTCTCTCTCTCTTTGTGTGTGTGTGTCTGTACAGTATAATTGTGCACTGTGTGTGTGCATTTTTATGTATATTGCTTCCGGAACTTTAATTCCATTCACAATGTATGCATTTTGTGAGTGCTTGTCTTTATGCAAATTTATTCATTTTATTGCCTGTCTGATTTGTGATTCTCTCTCTTCTTGTGGAGCTCCCCCTTGAATACCGAGGGGGGGGGACATACAGCCACACCCTTTGGTACAAGTGTAGTTGTAGCGAGGAACAGATTATTTAGTATCTGTAGTCACATAAACACATGTATGTAAGCTGTATATTCATAAGAAACATCTATCTATCTAGAATGGAATTTGTAGTTGTATGCCTAATGCTTTTAATATATTACTGTTGTCAGCTTGTATTCTTCACATCTGCAGACGCATCTGTTGTTATTGGTAACTGTGTGGGTATAGCCAAGCACTTGGGTGCTTGTAAGTGTGTATGCACACACACACACACACACACACATGTATATAATAATAAAAAACAAACAAGAACACTATAAGAACAGTACATGATGTAAGATATTAATAATATACAAACCAAGGCAATATAATAAATATAAGACAAACAGTAGTCAGATATTACTGCCTTTCTGCGATTTAAAGTTTAATATAGGCACCCAGATAGTTATGTCATTGTTTCTCAATCTTTTGATGGTACAATGAAACAGATACTCAATCCTTTGTTCTATAGAAAATACATAATTCTAGATACTATATAATATAGAATTGAGTATCTCGTTAATGGTACGGCTGAAGATAGGGAGATAACTGTATAGTAACCTGTATGAAATTTCGAGTTGCAGGAAGTAGAAAGGTGTGTCTATTTTTAAACCCCTGCCCCCCAATAAAATTTGAACTTTGGACAGTTTCTTAAGAATTTTAATTCTGATGTAAAGCACATCAGTCAGAAGTTGAAATGACATAACTTATTGGTGTTAATTAATAAAATTTGCTTGGTGATATTTTTTGTGTGTTTTTTATATATATATATATATATATATATATATATATATATATATATATATATATATATATAGGAACATTTGTGTGTAGGCACACACACACACATTTCCCATGATTTTTAAAAACGGTAATATGACTATGGTATAGCATGTCAGGCTATATGACAGTTCGGTGTAAATTTCTTGACGTTCAGGCTGGTAAATGTAGTTAATATTGTTTATTAGAAACAAAATATTTGCTTAAATATTTGTATCTATAAAAATAATGTATAAACAGACACACACACACACACACACACACACACATATATATATATATATATATATATATATATATATATATTTATATAAGCATTTGTACAGCAATGTCTGAATTAACTGCATGGATTCAAGCATATGTGTAGGCATTCCTTTATGTATGTGTTTATCTCAGTTTATAAGCACACGCACACATCCTGGGTATGATGATAAATTATATCCATGTTCTGGGTAAGATGATAAGCCACGTCAAACAGCAAGGCCTCTGATCAGGAGATTTTGAGGAGCATGGAACCACCTCTTAATTCCTGGGGTTCCCAGATCCACCTTGACTCAGGGTGTTAGCACCTGTTAGGGTCCCAGCTATGGGCAAATAGTTACCCACCCCCAACTGGGGTCAAAATACTATGAAAGTGTAAAAATAGGTTTTAATACCAGAAATATTTTGTAAAAAGTTATTACCAGCAATAAATTTAAAAAAAAAATATTACCAGCAATAAAAATCTTGTTGGCATTAAAAAACCCATTGAGGTGTTGATATGCTACAAAACAAGAAAAAAAAACAAACCAAACCCACACACACTGTTCTGTGTAGATATTAAAATTTTATCATTAAATAACCATTGAGGTTGTTATGCTGTAAAACAAACCAAACCATATACACACTGTTCTGTGTAATAATATTAAAATTTTATCAACTAGTTGCACATACTCTCCTTCAGAATTTGAATTTATTTATTTTTTTTTTTAATTTAAATGGGAATTGTATGATTTGTTGTCTGTTAAATTCAAAACATGTTTTCATTTCGATATACTTTTATGTCTTTTAACATGTGGAGCTTGAGATTCAATAAACAGTTAGGGAGTGGGGAGTAACAAATATTACGAAACAAAACCTGAATAAATGATAGGCCTTCTTCATTTGTGACATTAGTGAAGAACAATTTTCACAATCCCGCAATATCTACCTCCCACCATAAATATATAAACCATTTGTCTTCTATTTATGGAATTTAAGGCTTAAGTAATTATACTTTTTATTTATTTATTTTGCATCTGTCACTGTCAATTTGCATGCATACATATATTTGTAGTCATTATTATCGAAAAGTAGGCATAGTACTTGCATCGTCAGATTAGTGTTCACTATACTTCTGTATCTTGGCCCATGAAAACTTTTTATAGTTCTATATTTAGTGATTTTTAAATATACTTCTTTTATTTATTTTTCATATTTTTAGGACATTGAAATTTACAGAATTCTGACTTCAAAACATTCTAAATAATCAGGATGGATCAATGTTTGTTTGACACAGATATCAGTTGAATTTGGGTCGGAAGTTATTGATGTATAACGTTTGCTCTATGGAATTAATATTTATCATTAAGTACGCTGACTAGGAAGGAGATTGTTGAAAAATAAATTTGTCTGAAATAAATGTCTTTTTTCGTCACTTAGTTGGAGTATAGCTGGCCACTCGTACTAAAGAATACCTGTCTACTAGGGCGGCTAGCCAGTCCCTATGTCAGACGCTTGCTCAGGTGCATTTGTGTTTCTTCAACACCCACAGAGACCAACTGTGGTTTATACTGCAACTATGATGAGCAGACCGTAGTTCCAGTTTCTGAGAGAGAGTGTATTATCTAGCATGATCAACAATTTGAACAAGGCCAGCACACACAAACCATCGGCCATGATGACTTGTGACAGCACAGCTATTGATGACCCCCAAGGGTTCTATCTACCCAATTTCACTCACAAAGCTTGGGTTTTCAGAAGAATTTTTGAGAACAATAAAAGAACACTATTTACATTATTTGGGCTATTGTCCTCATCTTTGTCACCATGTTTATCATGTTTCAGCTGTTGTATGCTTCAGCCTTCTTCAGGTGGTTGGAATGTTGAACTGAACCCTTTATTTCGCTCACTGGGGTAGACTGTTCTAGTTCCATTTGCCATGTCTAATGGATGTCAGTTATTTCCTGTTAATTCCCCTCTGAAAGTTCTCTATTAACCAGGTATTGAACTCACACTCTTTGG